CAGACTTAGAGCCAAGGACTGAACATTGCAGAAAATGTCTTGTGTTGTGCAGTACTGTGTCTCCTTCTCCTGATGTCAAAGCCTAACAACCTCGTGGAGGCAGCAGGGAACAGAAATAACCACCTGGTACTGCCAAATGTTCCACAGATGAGTTCAGTGTTAGGGATGCTTCTGATCACAGCAAATGAGGGGTGAATACAAAAGACAGTTCACAGAAGGCAAGCTTGGACCTTACAAATGCAAGCACCTGCATAACATAAAAGTTAACCTCATCCTTTTAGGAAAGTGGGGAATGACCTGTATGCAAACAGAAATCATAGTCAAAGCAATGTCTGCCTGACATTTCTATACATGCAGTAAAGCCCATGAGAACAATTTGTAGATTATAAATTATTTTTTGTAATTGGTGAATTTTCAATTAATTTGCATACAAACCACTCACAGCTATGTCAACAACAGGTAAAATTAGCCTACTAAATACTCGTGAAATGTGCACTGAGCTCCTGGTATCAGTTTCTGTTACAAAAAAGTCAGTTATAATTTGTAGTATTCTCCATTAAAACTCCTATTTATTTTTCAGGTCAGCCTACAATCAAAACAAGCTGTAAGAATTTGAATTAAACAAGTATGCCTTTTACATACCTCCTTTTGTTTTGTATTTGTACAGTACCATGACAAGATCTCTGAAGCACTACCAAAACACAAAAAAAAAAAAAAAATAAATCAACAACACATTGTAGATTCATGCTATTCTACAGACTCTAAACAAAAAGGTGTACTTGGAAACATGTGACGTACTTTTCCAGCGCTGTTTTGGAATCTACAAGACCAGGGCAACAACACTGGTTGCATCTTTACTAGAAAATAAAATGTTCCTGAGCACCTGCACCCAGTTCCGTGTATGGTAAAATTCCTAGAAAAGCCCCTGGCATGGTTTTGACCAGTGTGGAACTGGTACACACAATTCCAGGCTACATTTCAGGTGTTAGCATGGGACCAGACTATGCCTAATAAGTAGATTGTGTGAAACTACCCTGCTCTGAAAACAATAAGAGTTAAGTAATACATGCGTGGGCTGTATCATTCCATTTAGCATCCATGCTGAAGAATAGGCCTGGGCACGTGTAATTTGCTAATACAGCCATAGCCAATACATACTGCTGTGATGAACTTATGACAAAAATAGTGAACTATTCAGGGACCTGCTTAGGAGAACTCCTTGCTATTTGCTGGAAAATGAAACAAGTCATGGAAATCCATATATATTGTTTGCATTTGCCCAAGAGACTCACTGAAACAAATACTTTGAACAAAATACTCTAAATTGGCCTGAATTGGCATGGTATTGCTATCTGGGTGTTGTGTTTAAACAAAAATAATGCTTACAAGGAAAGAGGGAAGCATTCAGAAGTTCTTCTTGTTTGATTTTTATGGTTTTGTTTTGTTTTGTTTTTTAGTGCAGATTAATAATATGTATATATTTTTGTCATGAAGAAAAGCAGAGACAGTAAAAATAGCTCTCAAGTGAGATAGCTGCTATTCACTACCCTGTTTCTGGAACCATGACAGCTGTTATACAACCAAAAGGAAAATTAAATTAAATAAACAAACAGCATAAGCTAATTGGGTTGATATCAAGTAAAAATATAATTAGTTGAAGTGGTTTGTGGTAAAGATGCTGACAATATGTGGCTGTTCCTCAGCCTTAGTGGTGAACAGGGATCCTGCCATGTGTTTAGAACTTATTCATCAAGTATTTCCATGGAAACACAGAGATGCACAATTCTTGGATCACTTATTTCAGGAATTGTTGCTCCCCAAGTTCAGTCTGGACTGAGAACTCAGACAAGGAGAGAGTGAAGGGATGTGATTCTGATCTAGAAACCTCCCCAGTCAGGTATTCTTTGGGTCTTACCATAGAATTTGGATGTGGGAAAGTGTAAAAGGACAGCTTGCATAAAGAGAAAGGAAAAAAACAAACAAATAAACAAAAAAATTAAAAACTCAAACTTAATTTTTCCTCTCAGAAACTGTCCAAGAGTTGAGAAATGATGGCACTGGAAAGAGCCTGAAGAGTTTACAAAATGGCCAAATGCCCCCAGGGAGATTAAAATGACCACAGGAGTGTTAGCAAGACGTTATGCTGTGAAAAAGATTTAGGCTAAATGCAGTCACTGGGTTTGGTTGTGCAAAGCTGCCTTTTCACATATCCAGATGGGAGCTGGCTCTGATGTGACCTCTCAAGGTTAAGAAAAATCCTCCCACATTGGATTGGATGGATTGGAGGATTGGATATCTCTGAATCCCACTTACAGTGTCAGGGACAGCCTACTAGCATGCGCTGCGGAGCACAGCAGTGCAACTTATGACTCGTAGGCATCCTTGGATAGGGTTATCCGTTCAGATTTCTCCTGACACCAGTAATAAAATCAGCACCTGTGTCTCCTTCGAGTTCTGCTAGGGTTTTTATCACTCTTTGCTGTTTCTGATAGAGATGCTCAGGCAGGGAGGTCTAGAACATGGTTGCCTTTAATACCAAGGTCAGAAGTAAGGTATATTCTCAAAGGCAACAGGGGACATCTGCATCCTGTCTCTCTGTTCACACCAGGGTCTAAGTGGGAGGGGAAAGCAAAATATTCATAATACCTTAAAGATGATGCAACACATCAAACCAGCTTTATTAGTCTAACATACTGTTCATTAAAGCCTCAAAAGCCTGAGCCTTCATAGGCTGTTCATAAGTACTTGAGGGGTCTGTTCCTGCAGTGATGTGATAGCTCCTGTGAACTGAAATTTCCTTAGGCACAATAGTGAGTTAAGCGTAAAGTGTGAAGCCTTAACTTCAAATTTTCTAGCTTTGGCTTAAGTCTGCCTCACAAGGTTCCAGAAATGCCTTTTTATTGTGTTTATTTCGTCATACATTATATAGCATTAGCGATAATGCAAACAGGCACACTGTCACCAGCTGGGGTGGCCTGATTCGGAACTGACTGCCTTGTGACACGACTTCCAGTGTTGCCGCTGCCATCAGCCCAAGTAATGCTCTCCTTAGACACAGCAGCAAACTGGAAAGGTCACACAGGGTGGAGCAGACAGTCTTAAAGTACAGAATTGTTATCAGGTTTCCGTGCTACTGTTGGCCTTTGAGCCTTTCTTTTCACATAGAAAAGGCTATGGACTGAATAGAGTCTTGGCTGGCAGTGGAGCAGGAGAGACAACCATCTACAATCCCTTTTTTTTTTTCCTGAGTATTTCAGTCACTCCTAAAACTTTACAAGGATCTGTGATCTCTCTCCACAGGGATGAGTCTGCATATCTTGAAAAAGCTACAGGTATTGTGAGACTCCACAGATGATCTGCTATGTAGCACATGTGTCTAAGAGTGATTGACTAAAATAGCCTTTGAGCCCTAGTGATCCATCAAGAGCAACCTCTTGTGCAGCCCTCTCTCTGGACATGAGCTCAGGCTTCCCTGCTAGCTCCTCCACATGAAAGGGTTTGGGTCTACTGCAGTACCAGAGCAGTACCAAGTGGAGACACCCAAGCTTGTGGGGAGCCAGAGACAAGACTAGTATGTCAAGCAGCAGCTTTGACAGGTCTATGCTCCCATTTCCCCACCAGGCAAGAAGAACTCAAGAGGCAACTGGAGTTCAGGGAAATTAAGAGATTCCCAACCCAAGGTGCCTGCTGCCAGCTTTCTGCTTGAAGGTCACCACCCACAGCAAGACTGATCAGGCCACACCCAGACCTGCACAGTAGTTACTGCAGCATGTTAGTGTAAACTGTGGCCGTTGCATGGTCCACCAACAGTACACAGGTCAACATCCTGACTGTTCAGGATCATCTCTGCAAAAAAATGGTACAACGTCACATCAGTGCTACTATATTCAGAGGCAAGTGCCAAGGTAGAGCCAGCCTTTTCCCTTCAGCCTGGCAGCAGAATGGTAGTAGTTAGCCAGAAGGGAGAAAATTAGGAGTTCAAGAGATTAAATTCCTGCAGGAACAAGCCCCAAAGTGCAGAAGGGTTTCCAGTAAAACAACAGTTATCCTACATCTCACTGTGTCCACAGCTTCATACAAAACACATTTGATTAAAACACTCTCCTCTCAGCAAACTCTTTTTCCTTGCACATAAAGATAATGAAGCTATTTATCTCAAAAGGCTGGGAGACTAACATGCTGACATTACTGAGCTTTAAATTCTTCTAAGACATTTATGAAGGAATGCTGTTTAGGCCCATACTGTGAGAGAAAAAGGTACACCTGAATTAAAGGCCCAGGCATACTGAATTAAAATGAAGTCATGTTCTGAAGTATTGTATGTTTTACATTACTGGGTGAAGGACACTCAGTTCCCTGTCTTGGTGTCAGAGAGACACTGATTTTCTGTGGAAATATGCCTGAATTGCTCTTGGTGTATATTACACTGTAGCCTACCTCTCCTTCAACATGAGTAGGATTGCTTCATTCTAAAAATTGATTGGTTTATAAACTGCTTATACTTATTTAATACTTTCCCCATAGCAGTACAAATGATAGAAAAAAATAGCTCAACCATTGCTCATTTTCTCTGCTCATCTCTTTGATTAAAACCCCCAAGTGAATCAGTTTCCTTGTTTATATCTGCTATCTCCCAGAAGATCTTTCTTAGTGCATAAGAAATCTCATTTATTAAACTGTAAAGGGCAACAGGGGCAAGAAAGATCTGCTTAAACACATCTTAAAGAATTTAAATATGGGTATAGATAGGATTATCTGACAGGTAATGAGAGTTTCCTTCAAGTTATTTAGCAATAATTTGAAGGTTTGAAGCAATAAATTGAAGATGCTTGGCATCATTTGACTCTTGTGTTTTGTATCTAACAGGTGGCCAAAGAACAAGGATGGTCACTTTATTGATAAATAGCAATATCATGCCAGTAGTATAGGAAGAAGTTGTATGTTGACCTATAGAAATAACGAAAAATAGTGCCTAATTTTTTCTTTTTTGTTTGCTTTTCATGGCAGCGAATGTACTGGAAGAAGACTCAATGGAGCAGGACATAGAGAGCCCTGTCACCATTCATCAGCCAAAGTTGCCCAAACAAGCTAGAGAGGATCTGCCAAAAAGTATAAACAAAGAATGTGCCAAGAGAAAAATCCAGAGGTATGTTAGGAAAGATGGGAAATGCAACGTCCACCATGGGAATGTCAGAGAGACTTACCGTTACTTGACTGACATCTTCACTACCTTAGTCGATCTCAAGTGGAGGTTCAACCTGTTGATTTTTGTCATGGTTTACACTGTGACCTGGCTCTTCTTTGGAATGATATGGTGGTTAATTGCCTACATACGAGGAGATATGGATCATATAGGGGACAGCACGTGGACCCCATGCGTCAGCAACCTCAATGGGTTTGTCTCAGCCTTTTTATTCTCAATAGAGACAGAAACCACCATTGGGTATGGTTACCGGGTCATCACGGACAAGTGTCCCGAGGGAATTATTCTGCTTTTAGTACAGTCTGTTTTAGGTTCTATCGTCAACGCTTTCATGGTTGGCTGCATGTTTGTGAAAATATCCCAACCCAAGAAGAGGGCAGAAACCTTGGTTTTTTCTACAAATGCAGTTATTTCCATGCGGGATGGAAAGCTGTGTCTGATGTTCCGAGTAGGAGACCTTAGGAATTCACACATTGTAGAGGCATCAATACGAGCCAAGTTGATCAAATCCAAACAGACAAAGGAGGGGGAATTTATACCACTCAACCAGACAGATATCAACGTAGGTTATTACACAGGGGATGATCGTCTCTTTTTGGTTTCACCACTGATCATCAGCCATGAAATTAACCAGCAGAGTCCTTTCTGGGAGATTTCCAAAGCCCAGTTGCCCAAAGAGGAGCTAGAAATTGTTGTAATCCTAGAAGGAATGGTGGAGGCAACAGGTAACATTTCTTATACTTTGTATAAGGTTAATGCTTTAATTTTAGACAGGAAAATCAGTGGGTTTGCTTCACTTCAAAGGAATCACTTCAATAGTCACTATATTTGAAAAAGACATCAGTTATCTGGTTAGCTTCAAAACTAAAAGCATGCCCAGTTTAACTGTCTGTTCCATCTTGCCTAATGGAATTAATGTTTTTTTCTGCTCTGTTTGGAAAATGGGATAGCATTTCTCGTTTTCTAAATTTTTCACAGCATGTCACCCAGTTATTTGTCATTCTATTGCAGGAGCAACTCAACCACTAGGACCTTGTGGGATAAAATGATGTAGAAAAAAAAAATCAGTACAAAACTGTTTGTGATTAACATGGAAGCACTATAGTTCCTACTGCTTCCAATTACCCATGGGTAACTGCAGAATAACTGCCTGCCACATAAAATTCCTAACCTGTTTAAATCCTGTAGGAAGTGATAGTGTGTTCAATTTTCTCTTTTTGCTTGCTTGTTTGCTTTCTTTTGTTTTAACTTGTAACATGGGGCTTGTTCCACTTTAGTATACAAAAGATCTCTGACTTTGAATTTCACTGAGGCCTCCTACACACTGCAGAATTGTACAGAACACTTAAAGCTCGTGTATATAAACAAGACATGCTATGCCATTAGAGTCCTGTTGAGAGGCTATTTGGTCATTACCTACAATTATAACAGCAGAACTTCAGATATCACTTGACATGGAGAAAATAGTGCTTGGAATTCACAGGAAATGGACTAGTGATGCTTCTTCTTTGTGTTAAAGACTAGTAGGAGGATGCTTTCTCTAAAACTGCTGTATTTCCAGCAGTCAGAGTGCTGGACTTGTTTCAGAAGCTGGATGTACTTTTGGGGGGTTAATGACGGCATCGATCTCTGAAGTGAGTAAGTACAACCAATACAAGGGAAGGGTGGTTAGACAACGAAGAAAGGATGTGCTTAGGGAGCAAGAGACACTGACGACAGAAACAGAAGAACCAGATTTGCCATTTTTCCCTCCTGTTGTAACAAAAGCTAGGAAAGTTTGAGGATACGGATTATACATCTCTGACAGAGGTACAACCTTTCTAACCCTGACTCATGTTTTGCAACTGGAGCTAGGAAATAAACAGCAGGCTCTTACTAGAACATGTGTGTGTGTTTCACACATCTATTGTGTGGTGTCAGAAGAAAACAGCACTTGTCACCCTATAATAAACATGTGAGACAAAAATGGAGGAAAAAAAAAATCAGAAGGAACTTGGCAGAGAATTTGAAGTAGTAAATGCAAGGCTTCTGAATTTTCCAGGAAGTAGGTGGTACTGAAGAGAAATCAAAATGAAATGTTTAGTGTTTCTGATATGTGCAATAGGCTCAGAGGTTCTTCATCTGCGTCACCTTCAGGTGAGAAGATGAGGAAATTGCTGTTTGTTAGCTGACACCATTTTTAAATTTCTGAATTGCAGCTAAATGAACTTGACATCCCAAAGAGCGGTGGATATTTTCAGGTTTACTGAACATCATGTTTTCCAGAAAAATGCCTGGCAAGTAGTAGTCATGTAAAAAACATCTCACCCAAAATACCTATGGAATCAAAAGACAGTATACTTCCACAGTGCATTAGATGAAGCTTTGTTGTTTTAAGCCTTGTCATTCTTCACTGTTTAACTCTCTCTCCCTTACCTTATCTTCACCCCTACACACTCACGTGGCTCTCTGGGCTCTCCGGGGTCTCCTTTGCTGCTCTGATACTGACCACATCTTCCACTCAGCCATTTCCAGCCATCACTGGAGGGGGTATCTCTTAGACTGCTCAGCCAAGTTTAAGTTAAAATAATAGTGTCCGTATTAACACAGAAACTGGATGCAGTGATTTGAAAACCTACTGAAGTCATCCAGGATTAAGGTGTTACCCTAGGATTGAATAGGTAGCTACATTTACAGTTTTAAGCTGCTCCATTTTCTTCTGTTTGGGCTCTCTATCTGCTTGAGATATGAGGGAAGGGCATCAAATAATGTTCACTGTCTATGGCATCAGAAAGATTAATGTCTTTATTACCAGCATAATTTCTGAAACATGTTTCTGCAGAAGTAGCCACTTGTTCTGTGCTTTGCCCACATGCATTGGGTTATTTTTGTTGAAGATGCAATCAGGCCGACTTTCTACCAAAACTAGACATTTTCCCTCTTTTAATTTACAAATATTTGTCAGTTACATCCTAGCAAACACTGAAAGCAAATTTACACTTCTTTTAGTGTCAGACTACTGCTGTGGCATGTACAGAATAGCTCCATACCAGCAAAGGTTCTGGTCCCACAATTATGCAGCACTAAACGACAGGATCCTGGAATCCCTCCACACCTTATGGGAGAGCAGTAACATTAAATTCAAATTAACTAACTGTAAAAAAAACATGACTAACTCACTGATCTCAGTTCACCAGTATTTGATATTTGCCATTCAAAAAGTTTGCTTATATTAAAGTGCCCCCACTACTTTCAAATTATTTTCTAGAGATCACTTAAGAGATTTGTTAGAGACCAGTTAAGAGATTTGTTAGAGTATGCACATTTATAGTGATGGAATTTGAGAAAATTATTTTTTTATTTTGGACCAAAAAAAATAGATCTTGAACCCTGACTCCTCTAAACAGCTAGCACAAAAGCTTGCATCTGAAGAACTGTTTTATTGATTTTAAACGTAAAAAAAATAAAAAATAAAATCTACAATTAAGAATTTTTCATTATAATTTTAATAGCTTTTTCCTAGCAATGGGCTTGAATTTTTTTAAGCTTCTTTCACCTAGCCAAAAAAAAAAAAAAAAAAGGAAGTCTTTTTAAATTTGAGAAGGTGAAGTGAGGAAGTGAGTATGTTATGATAGCTACAGAAACTGAGGCATTTACAATAAAAGAAGAGATAAGAAGGAGTATTCTGAACAGCCCATAGACTTGTTGGTAATGCAATTCCTGTATCATAAACAGCCTTGTTCAAATCCCTCCTCTAAGCCTGCATCAATTTACAGAAAAGAGCATTTTCTAACACAGGAAAGGAATGTGAAGTATTCTAACCTACTTAAGCCAGCAAGATCCTCAAACTTTGTGAAGTTTTATCTACCCCATAGGATACACTAGATCATACCCTCTGGCAATTCCCTCTGCCTAAAAAAATAAACACAGAAGTTGAAACAGTACCAAGGAAAGAAAATTACCTACACATCTGGAACTCTAAAAAAATTAACAACAAAGCCAGACAGATAACTTTAGGCTCATATGGATAATTTTACATATAAACTTGCAATAGTGTACATTTATAATTCTGACATACAGGCAGCTTGAGAACAGTACTTGCAGAATGGTTTACAGATAAGTAAACAAATACACTTGCCAGCTGTGGAAAATGTGTGTGGAAAGCAATAAAATGTTCACATAGACACTTATATAGTAAATGATGCTATCAACTAGACAAACATTGTATAAAACTATTCCCACTCTTCACTACAGCTTCTTTGCCTGACAGATTTATTGTCTTTTTTATTTCTCCAAGATGAATTGCTACATTTACCCCTTGTCCTTGCCCAATCCTAACAAATATCTCCCTTTGATATGTATGTTAGCACTTCCGACCTTTCAAAACATCTCTGCAGACTTTGCTCTCTTTCCAAATAAGCATTGCTTGGGTTCCAGTTGTTCACTGTTTTTCACTGCTCTTCAAATAAGAGATGTTTATACTTTCAGATTGCTTCTTAAGGGAATGTAGATGAGAGGGAGAAAAGAACCAGGATTTCTCATACTCAAGTGTTTCTACAAAACAACTGGTGAAAGTAGATTTTATTGTTGTGCTCTGTGATGTGACCAACATACATTGACTCAAATGCAATTTAAAAAAAGTTAAGAATAATTGGCTTCTGCTGTAAGCTGGATCATCATCATTTCAGGTATGGTCAGACTACAATGGCTATTCAAACTTCAGTTTTCCTTTCCTTCTTTTTTAAGAATTTTAACTTCTCTTGATGCTAGGTTCTAGACTTAGATATCTAGGTTAACCTTCTCATATATGTGTATATTCCATATGGGGGTGTTGGTAAATAGCTCGCTGAATATGAGATGGCATGCCCAGGTAGCCAAGAAGGCAAATAGCATCCTAGCTATTTGAAATAGTGTGGCCAGCAGGACTACAAAAGTGATCATCGCCCTGTATGCAGCACTGGTGAGGCTGCACCTTGAGTATTGTGTTCAGTTTTGGGCCCCTTGCTCCAAGAAAGACATTGAGGTGCTGGAGAGTGTCCAAAGAAGGGCAATGGAGTTGGTGGAGAGCTTAGCGCACAAGTCTTATGAGGAGCAACTGAGAGAAGTGGGGTTCTTTAGTCTGGAAAAAATAGAAAGATGCTCAGAAGAGACCTTATTGCACCCTACAACTACCTGAAAGGAGGTTGCAGCAGGGTGGGGGTTGGTCTGTTCTCCCAAGTAACAAGTAATAGAACAGAAGGAAATGGCCCCAAGTTGCACCATTGGGGGTTTTCATTGGATATTAGGAAAAACTTCATCAAAAGTGTGGTCAAGCACTGGAACAGGCAGCCCAAGGAAGTAGTGGAGTCATCATCCCTGGAGGTATTTAAAAGGCGTGTAGATGTGGCTTTTAGGGAGATGGTTTAGTGGTGACCTGGCAGTACTGGGTTAATGGTTGGACTTGATCATCTTAAAGGACTTTTCCAACTTAAATAAATCTGTGCTTCTATGATCCCTATTTCCCTAGAGCTTGCCAGAAATCCTTTTCACTTATATTCCTTGCTCATGTTCCCATTTTGTAAATTCTAACAAAACTTTTGATTGTTATTAATTCTAACACAGAGAATGAGGCATGTTAGCATGAGTAATTGCAGTCATGAGCTGGAGTTCTGAATGCTAGCAAAGAAAGGCACTCCAATATCTTTGTGATGTTTCAGGAAGCTTTCTATACAGGTGCAAAAGATCAGTCTGTTTGGTGAAGGAGCCT